TTTTGAAGTAGTTCTGCTTTCACATAACATATAGTCTAGAATTCTTTACTTTAAACACAAGTCTTAAATGTTTTAAATTGGGAATTAAAAAGCTTGAAGGGGCGTTTGGAGAAGGGGGAGATTTGAGGTTGACAATGTCAGGTTAAAATCTGAAGCAGGAGCAAAGATGTTGGCTTGTAAGCCTCTTCTAGGCTGGGACCACGTTCTCTTCATCTCTATATGCCCTGTTCTCCTCGGTGCTGGAACTTAATTCACCAGCAAATAACTATAAAGTAAGGAATTTAACTTTTCAACGTAGCAACACAAGGTGTAGGTGTTAGAGTCAAACTTCCCAGATCCCAATCATTTTTCCTTCCCCTGGTCATGCCCATGGGCAAGTTGCTTAACCTCGTTGTGGTTCCAGTTTTCTCATCTGGAAAAAAGGGGTTGTGATAGTACCTACTTCTCAGAGTTGCTGTGGGACTCAATGCATTTACAGCTGTGACACATAGAGCACTGTGCCTGCCACATACTTAGGTCTGGATACGTCTTAGCCATTATTATTTTTTCCCATCATCATTTAGCTAATTGTCTTGTATTTCCCCCCAGTTAGTTTCTTGGAGAATCTGGCCAACATAAAAGTTAGCTGGGGTAGTAGGTTGAATTATGGCCCCTAAAAAACAGCTCTATTCAGAACCTGAGAATGTGACCTCAGTTGGAACAAGGATTTTTACAGATAGTATTAAGACAAGGATCTCCAGATGCACAATCACACTGGATCAGGACAGGCCCTAAGTCCAATGTTCTTACAAGAGACAGAAAGATCCAGAAACAAGGAGGAGGCCTTGTGAAGTCGGAGGCGGAGACTGGGATCCTGCTGCCACAGCCATGGAAAGCCCTGAGCTCCCTGAAGCCCGCAGAGTCAGGGAAGGACACTTCTCTAGAGTCTTCCAAGGGAGGCGGCCCTGCCGACTCATTGATTTTGGATTTCTGGCCTCCAGAACTGTGAAAGAATAAGTTTCTGTTGTTTTAAGCCACCAAGTTTACGGTAATTTGTTGTGGCAGCCCTAGGAAACTTAAAACTTGGGTACAGATGACTTTAGAACAGCCTAGATTTAGTGAGGGAAATAAGCCGAGATGTGAATTGGTGATTATCACGAGTTCTCCTTTTCCCGAACTGTGTACTGCAGGGAAAGTTCTCTTTACAAAGGGATAATCACCAGCTTCAGACAGAAATTGGAATGTTCAGGCCACTCTGTCTCATCCACTTCCAGCCAAGGGCATTTCTGCTGAGAATCTTGAAAACGTTCTGCATTTTTCCACAAGGAATAAAGTGAAAGTACTCAATGTACAGTGAGCTACGAGAGGGAGTCAGCTGGGGCCAAATAAATGGGTGGCTACACAGCTCTCTGTGCCTGCCCAGCAAACACACCCACACTTGTCCCCGCTGCCTTCCTCACTCCCCTCTGTGGAGGACAAAGGGGTCGTTAGCCAAAGACTCTTAGGCATAGGAGTTCCCCTAACTCTACTGATTCTCGCAATGATATCTATGAAACAGATGTCCTTTAAAGTGAAAATATCTCCAGGTGATCTGCAAGATCCTTCTAAGCCTTTGGAATGTTAAAGAGTCCTCAGGAAAGTAGCATGAGAGAGGGTTCAAGCCACTGATGTTCAGAGAAATGGTTTTCATTCTTTTCCTCTCTCCTAATTCCCGGAGGAAAATAGCAGCAAACAGAGCAGCGACAGTCAGAGAAGGGTGACTTTTTTGGAGCAAAAGCGTTAGCCGAGATGACACATGCTGACAGATTCAGCAAACAGGGGCTGTTCTGCCAATCAGCAGATAATTTCCGTGTGATCACAGTGTGGGGAAGATTGTGAGTCACGCAGTACATCAAAGACAGGTCACGACTACCTCGTGTGTCATCTTCTAATGTGAAGGTCAAGAAAAAGGAGACCGTGGGGCAAGGAAGACAGGGGAAGGGCAAGCAGCCCCGGGTGCAGCCAAATCAACCACATCCAGGCAGGTATCACCTCATATTTTCTGACAGTGCCCAGGGAATCCTTGTAATTATCTGCTTTGTTGACATTTAAAGCTCCCAAGTCACCAGCACTTTTTAAACTCTGAAGTCCATGGCAAATTGTGAAAGTCACTTATTCCCTGACTCAATCAAGGTTTTCTTTTATTCCCCTACTTTGTAATTTATTCAATATACCTCCAGCGAGGAAAGGGCTGCAGCCCTTCCCTGCAAGTAAGAAAAACCAGAGGAAGAAGCCACACACAGTATTCCTGCATACCCAGAGATGGACTTCATCATTTAATTGAAGAGAATTCCAGAAAGCTAAAAATACTCACATCCAAATAGAAAAAGAAAATTCTGAGCCAAATGGATTTAAAGGATTTTTGTCATTATTTGTCATTTGCTTTTCTCCATTGGACGGGGAAGGAGAGAGAAAGTGAGATGGATACACGTGAAACACACAGGTAAAAAATTTAAATGCCAAAAGTATCCAATGTACACACACCTATTATGAAATTAATTTAAACCTTTTTATATGAAAGCTATAACCTAATAACAACCTAAGGATATGGGGAGGGTGGAGGGAGGGGGGAGAGGG